CACATCTGCTCCGCTGTGTTTCCCAGTGTGTCAGCTGCAGGGTGAGGCTGGGGCCGGCCACCTGGATGTTACCCTGAGATGACTTCCCACCAGGGGGAGCTGGTTAAGCTCAGCCAGCGAGCAGGTGCATAGCGCCCCCTTGGGGCTGACACGAAGAGCAGAGGGTAGGGGCCTGGGTCTCCGGCCATGCCCTCCACCAAGAGCGAGCCTGGAGAACCGCAGGGGCAGAGGAAGGTAGACAGGATCAAGTCCCTGGTACTCAGACCCTCTGAGTCACAAGCCGGAAGAGTACAGCCCAGCAAGGTTTATTTTTAAAACCTCCACGGAGGTCGTGGTGCCAGGCAACCCGGTTTGGAAACCACTCTTGTAAAGCAATGTTTTGTGCACAAGGCAGAGCCTATGCCACAGAGGTGTTCAGTCAAGTTCAAGGTCACCTGCAGCCCCTTTGGGTGCCCTGTTCCAAGGGGCAAGTTTGTGTATGGGGGGCTTTTCTTGGAGGGAGGCTGCAGGTGGGGGCTGGGCAGGGGGCTGAGGAGTGGGGAGGGAGCTCGCCGCCGCACTCCAGAGCAGATCTGGCAGGGAGCGTTCTTGTAAGCCCAGCTGAATGGATAATTAAGCAGATAGCGAAATGGAAAGCCGCTCCACACACCTCCCGGGAGCTGGCTGGGGGAGATAATATGCTTTTCTGTCGTCAGAAGGCACAGGAGGAAAAACAACTGGGCCTAGCCGTTGGCCATTTAACAATATTGCTTTTGTAAACAAGTTGAAAAATCCAATAACTGTAAAACTTATGGCATGTCCTTAACATCCTGTCGCCGTTTCCCCGCGAATGGGTGAGCGTTTCCAATCCAAGGTGCTCTAATTGAACAGTCCCATATCTGGGGCGGAGAAGTCACTGCCCCCCGGAGGGCCCTGGGCCCAGGACCGAGGGTCACCACGCCTTGGGTGCATGCATGGCCGGGGTTTTGTTTCTCTGGTTGGTGGCTGGACTTGCGACAGCCCCACAGCTGTCCTCCTCCTCCTCCTGTGTGTGGTGCAGGGCTCCGCCAAGACCAACCGCGTGCAGACTCCAGACCCACCCACCGCGGACACGGAAAAACTGTCCCGATCTTTACTAAAAAACCCTCTGGCGGTGGGAAGCAACACGGTAGTATGAAGTCAACTTCCAGGCCCACAGGCGCTCAGGGCGCTGATGGGGAAAGAATGCACGCACGCACATACGCACGCACACACGCACGCACACACGCACGCACACACGCACGCACACACGCGTCCATCCACCCTCCCTGGCGAGAGCCTCAGAGGGAGGGAGCCAGGCAACCCCCAAGTGGGCCTGGGGGCGAGGGGTGGTACTCTGGGGGTCTCCCTGCGGCAGTCACAGGTACTCGGGGCCAGATGGGGCCCAGAAGCCAGCGCCTCTTTCTCCCTCCTCTGCCCCGCCCACCCCGAGTCTGGCCAGACTTTTGGTTTGAGGCTCAGTCAAGGCTCCCTCGTTGCAGACATTGGGGACAAGCTCAGGGGTCCCCAGGGCCACCGGCGCTCTGACCAGCTATCTCAGAGTTCAGGAGCCCCTAGAATCACCCTCGCATGACAGAGTCACACTCTGTGTCTCTGGCCCCTGCAGTTTTATTACAGTGACAGATCAAAGCCTGCCTCAGGGACAGACAGGAGCAGCCAGGTCTGGGGGTCCTCGGGGACATGTTTCCCGATCAGCACCGAAGTGTGACACAGTCGGTCTCACCAGCCAGGGCAGCTCTCTGGGCTTGACACATGGGTGTGCCTGAGGCCTGGGCCACCTGACTGGACCCCTGCCCCGAGGTCAGCCTGATGTCACTCGACTCGAGTCCCTGATACTCTTGTCACTCTCACTGTGACTTGGCCAGCCCTTTTCAAGATGTCTCAGTAGATCCAGAGTGGCCACAAGAACACCTTGCATGAACTCTCAACTAGGGGTTGAGGGGGCCACCATCAGCGACTATGGCACTGCTGTCACTTGGGAAATTTTAGAATTGACCTCCCTGGGGATGGAGGCGCCCAAATTCTTCATAATGCTCACTCCAGCTAGGATGCTCTTAGTCCCCACTCGGGGGGCTCCTAGGAGACCCCTGACCAACCCTCTGGGAAACCCCGGGCTCCCAGGCCAGGCCTGGCCCAGCCGTTTAGCTCCACATGGGCTGGTGAATCACAGCCTCTACGCTGTGTGGTCTCCCGTAGGTGAGGGTGGTTCTGTGTCAGATGAGTCCCCAGGGCCTGGAGCAATGCGGGACAGACACAACGGGTGCTATGCCTCCTTCAGGTCGCCCCACCAAGAGGACCCTCTGGGAGCTGGGCTGCCCTAGGCCAGGCCGTGTGCCAGGGGTGGTGACTCACGTGGCAGAGCTCGTGGCTAGGCCAGCCTCCCCGAGAGCAGGCGTGGCTCAGAACAGGGTCCCCAGAGCCCCCACCTCTCCCCTGGGAGGACCCAGGCAGAGGGACAGTGAGAGGCTGTGGCAGATGCTGGTGGCGTCTCCCACTCTGGGCCATCCACACATGGAGGGAAGAGGCTCCATAGTGATTATTGTGATTAGTGTGGCCGGTCACAGGGGCCTCCTGCCTCTCTTGTCAGTGATTGGTTGAAAGGCTGACCTCCGGGCAGGGGTCCGGTCAGGTGGCCCAGGCTTCAGGCACACCCATGTGTGAAGTCCAGAGAGCTGCCCTGGCTGGTGAGACCGACTGTCACACTTTGGTGCTGATCGGGAAACGTGTCCCTGAGGACCCCCAGACCTGGCTGCTCATGTCTGTCCCTGAGGCTGGCTTTGATCTGTCACTGTAATAAAAAAAGACAAGTATTTGAGTCTGTCCTGGCCAATGAGATGTATAATATATGTTCTGGCTTCTAAGAAGAGATGGAGTGTGGACCTGCCAGGGTTGATGGAGCCCCAGCAGCCACTCTGTGACCATGAGGACTGTGAGCTTGCTCACTGAAAGGGTTGAGGGCAAAACGGGAAGGAATGGAGCTGAGTCCCCAATGGTTGTGTCTAGGAGCTGATTAAGCCTGGCCCTGGACTTCTCTTGGTGGAGAGAACACATTCCTTCTGGGGCTGGGCCTGTGTGGTCAGACCTATTCTACTTGTAACCAAAGCATTGTCACTTAGTGGTTTTAAATGGTTTAGTCAAGTCTCATACTGGAAGCATTTTACACTAGCGCTCAGCACACATAGTCACGTAGAGAAATTAATTCACAAGACAGTTATGTGCAGCACAGTCATCTTTTCTTTCTTTCTTTTTCTTTTTTTTTGTTTTGTTTTGTTTTTTGAGACAGGGTCTCACTGTGTATCCCAGACTGGTCTTGAACTCACAGTGATCCTCCTGCCTCAGCCTCCTGAGTGCTGGGATTACAGGCATGCACCACCATGCCCAGCTTGATCTTTTCTATTCTGTGTTCCTCCCTCTTAGTTTTTTAAGACAAGGTCTTGCTATGTAGCCCAGGCTGGCCTTGAACTCATGGTGATCCTCCTGCCTCAGCCTCCTGAGTGCTGGGCCTGCAGACATGTGTCACTATGCCTACCCCTATTTTGTTCTTTCTCTGTCTCTTTCTGTACTTGCCACAGCCTAGAACTGACTGACTTTGTGACTACCACAGTTCATGACACTCAACTGGAAAACCACTATCCTAAAAACTCTATAGAAATAGGCACTAAATAAAGGGGAGAGGGAAAGAGCGTCAACTGGAGGGAAGGCATCGGGTAGCCCCCGGGTGGGAGGCGAGAGGGCTGGGCTGAGGGAGAGGCACAGAAGGGACGGGCACACAGGGCAGAGCGGTCACACACAGGCTGGCGTGGCCCCCACATGGGGGGAGGAGACGCAGGGTGCAGGGAAACGCAGCGGTCGGTGCAGGAGGAGACAGAGGAGCAGTGGGTTGGGCAACAGAGGTGCCGGGGCTGTGCCCACTCCGGGCTGGGAGGAGCCTGAGCAGGATGAGGTGGGCACGGTCCGGTGGGGCTGCCAGAGTCCCCTTCCCTAAGTGTGGGGACCCGGGTGAGGGCACTGCCCCACATGGCTGTCCTGGTGCCCCTGCCTCAGTGGACGCCAGAGTCTTTGGTGTCCCCAGTGCTCCCTGCCCATGGTGAGGGCAGATACGGCTGGCCGAGGGGACTGCACTGTCCCCAGCGTCCCTCTGCACCCCCATCCCAAGCAGTCAGAGGCGGCAGTGGCACCCGCCTCTTTGACCCATCGATAGCCACTCACGCGGCTCCTGAGCCGGGGCCTCTGGGTTCAGATCTGATCCCACCCTGCCCCTCGTGCTGCCCACCATCTCCACGTCAGGGGGGAGTGGCCCCTGTGGTCTGCAGAGGGCCGGAGAGTGACCCTGTGGCCCCTGGCGCAGCTCTTGTGACTGGTTTAGCCGCTGTTGGTGACATGTATGTGAGGATGCACAGCTGTGCTCTAATAAAGCTTTATTTACAAAAATGGCAGCGCAGCCTGCTGACCCTCTTATAAGATAACACCCTAACTGGGCACAGTGGTGCACACCTCTCGTTCCAGCCCTCAGGAGGCTGAGGCAGGAGGATCGCCGTGAGTTCCACAGTGAGTTCAAGGGCAGCCTGAACTACGTAGAGACCCCCATCTCAAAAACAAAAAACAAAGAACAACACCCCGAGTTGAGACAGCCACGTCTTGGGGTGTCTCCCTGATGTGTCCCTCACCTGCTGTTCCGTAGGAGCCCCACCTGTCCCCCCCGAAGGACACAGTGGACTTGGGTGAAGAGGCCCAGGCTGAATCTGGGACTGACGCGTAGGGATGGAGGAGAATGTCTTGCTTTCACTTCCCAGATCGGGCGGGGGGCGGGGGGCTGCACAAAGCTCGGGACTGTGGTGCCCTGACCTTCTGGGTGCCTGCACCCCAATTCCTGCGCTGAGATCCACACCCCAAAGGGATGGAACTGGGAGGTGGGGCCGTCCGTCGGTGGTGGGTGGCAGAGCCCCGAGGAGCCTTACCGTGGAGGTCACTTTTGCACCCAGCTCCCGGGTCTGCCTGCTGACGGCCGCCTCCTCCGGACTCCAGGGGAGCTGCCGAGGACAGGAAGGAAGGGGCTGCAGTCAAGGGAGAGTCGCTGCCGGAAGTCACGGGGCCTCTCTGATCCGCAGAGCCCCCTAAGGTGAAGGGGGTCAGAGATGGAAGAAAATCCGGGTCAGACCCCACGGTTTCTGGTTCCAAGCTGTCGTCGCCTGAGGTCATCGGCTACCAGGGGGGTGGAGGTGGGGTGGGGAGAGAGGAGGTGGGATGTCGCCTCTCAGCACCACCCCAGGACTAGGCCCCCGGGGGGGGGGACACGAGGCGGCTCTGAAGATCCCCAGGGAGTCCGGACGCTGCCACTCCAGGCCCGGGATGATCACTTCCCTGTGGCCTCAGTGTCCCCTCATTTCTAGGCTCAACACAGAGCCTGGACACGGAGATGGAGAGGGACTCACTTCACAGTCGGGAGGAAGATCATGTGAGAAAACGCGTATACCAGGCCGGGCGTGGTGCCCAGCACTCAGGAGGCTGAAGCAGGAGGATTGCTGTGAAGTCGCGGCCTAGACTACGTGGCCAGACGCTGTCTCAGAAACAGCCAGGTTTCTGTAAATGTCTTTGTAAGTGACATCATGCAACAGTGTCACTATTAATTCTTTTCTTTCATCTTCCCTGCCTCACCTCTGAGTCCCTGCCCATCCTGTCCTCCACTACCTCTCCTGTCCTCCTGTCACACTTTAACAGAGTGTTTCTTACAGGTGGGCGACCCTATTTGAAATATCTCAATTTGTCTTCCCCAAAACTTTATGAGATGAATTCTCTGTTTATTTTCATTTCCCAGGGAAGGAAACAAGTACAGAGAGGCCAAGACACCGGCCCAAAGCAAATGGCTTATACGTATGGTACACATTTGAGACTCAAATCCAAATATTCTGATGTTAAAGTCATCAGAACTTCTAACTACAGCTGTATCCCGATTCCCCTTTGCCTATCAAAACCTCCCAACCAATCCGGCCAGCAGGGAATCAAGGCAGATATTCTCTGGCTCCTCTACCTGGGGAACAGATTTTTGTGACACATCAGTCATTTACACATTAGTCTAAATGACAGCCTACTTTCCAAATTTCTTTCCTGACCTGTCTCTGTGCCCCAGAGCTGTTTGTAACTCCCCAGCTTAGCATTTGCCACAGGCATTGTAATCATCCTCTGTCCCCCGTGGAGATAAACTTGTGGATTGGATCACCGAGGGTGGTATTTATTGGTTTCAGCATCCCTGGAGAATCACCCAGCTGACACTAGGCGAGAAGTGATGAACAAAACTAATGAAATGAGTTAATAAAACCTGTCCCAGTGAACGGCATGCACAAGAATAAACCTTGGCCATTTCCCTGTTAGTGAGACGACAGCGCTAGGGTACTTGGAGTGAGGACCAGCTGGCCAGAAAGAACCGGTCATAGAGACCCAAGGCCCCTTCCGCTCCCAGGAACCTCCCCCAGCACCGCCTGTGCGTCCTTCCTCCTCCCTGAAGTCCTCAGGGACACCCACCTCCTAACCGTCCCCAGATGCCCCCGGGGCTGTCGGGGCCCTGCAGCCGGCCCCTTTGCAGCCCCTTCCTCCAGCTCCTGGTCCTGGGCTATGTGAGAAACGGGAATGGGCAGGAGCTTCAGCTGGGCGTGGCAGTGCGTGCCTGATACCTGGAGGCTGAGGCAGGAGGGTCGCCATGAGTTCGAGGCCAGCCTGAACTACCTAGCTAGAGTCCAGCGGGACAGTCTTATATGTTTTGGGGTTGTCACAGACAAACCCAGCCCCAACTCCACCTACCCGGCAGGCCTGACAGAGCCTCCACTTCCCCTCCGGCAAATGGGGGTCCCTGTGGCCCCTCTGCGTGGACTGGGGCGCTGTCCTCCTACTGCATGCCGTGCTCCCTCCCAGCACCGATTCCTGTGTGCCGTTTCCCGATGTTGAGGAAGAAGAAAGTGAAATGGCCTCCAAGTCCGCCCGGGCCGACTGTGCGTCCCGGGTGCGGGTGCCGGGCCTCCTCCTCCGTCCCGCTATGTGGGGCTGGCCGCTGAGGGACCCCATCGCCAGCCAGCCGCGCCCC